GCAATCATGACAGTTTATTAGCGGAACGCAAGAGCTGAGCGCAGAAAGAAGGGGGCCAGTCACCTCTCGGTGTGTTAGGGGTCATCAAACAGCAGGATGTTCTAGTTACCCTGCAGGAGAACTTTCTCTCTGCTGGAATGAGTCTTCCGATACCCCAAATCTTTTGAGAGTGCCAGCACACCGCCATATAGCCCTGGAGGGTTAATCGGGATGGGGTGCGATTGTGGGACTCAAACCGAGAGGCCTGCGGTTCCCATCTGTAACTCTTTCCATTCTTTAGTCGGTCTATATTTCCTTCTACAAGCCATGTTGTATGCACTTCCTGCTTGTAAGAGCCTAAATACTTTAAACTCTGGCAAAGATCCACTAAGACAGGAACAATGGCACCCTTTCACATAGGGTGGGAGAAGACTGAGGTCTTCAGACCAGTCAATATTTGGACATGATTTTTTACCCCCATTAAAAATCCTGGCAGAACCAAGCAGCAGGAGGCCAGAAGTGCCAGCGAGGGAAAAGGAGGGTAAACACGGAGAACAATACAAACTGAACCCCACACAATACCACTGAACAGTTATCACAATATCAGCTGGCCACAAACCGCAAACCATGGGCCTTGTTTTTAAAGTGGGGATTAAAACTGAGCCGGTACATAAAGGAAACCATTTGAGGTCATATTGCACAAGCTAGAGTTAAGAGGTGAAAAAGAGATGGCTTTACAGGAGATCCATGACATTTCCCATTTCTGTAGTGAAGAAATGAGCAAGGAAAGACTATCAAAAAAAGCGTTTAAGTGTGAAATGTGACAAAAAACCCAAGTCTAAAAAGGCCGAGAGTATTATTCACTATACCACCTGACTGAAAAGGCTTCAAAAACTGTAGGAAAAGTGCCACATCTGTTTTTGAGAGATTTCAGAGGCATTATCAGTGATTAAAACGGGACTCTGTCAGAATGCTGAAATCCCTCTCCCCAGCTGTTAGGTCCATTCGACAGACCTCTTTGATGGACAGTGGTATCGGCTTCCATGGCACCACATACACAAACAGCCAGAGGATTAAGGTAGGAATCAATACTGATTCTTGACTGATCCTGCCTAACAACAACAAATAAACAGGTTTCATTTTCAATATAAGACCTATTTTAGTTTCAAATTCCAGGAACTAGCACAAAAAATAAATATTGACAAATTAATATATTTGCGATGTAGATCGCATATCTGCGATATACTTTCTCAGAAACACAGGATAGGCAGGATAGAGAAGGAAACAATAAGCTCTCTATCTCAAGCCAATCCAGTAATGCCTGTGAAAAAACATGTCTCAAACTAAGAAATGACTAATCTGAGAACGAGCTGGGAAACTTCAGAGGAAATATGCCAACTTGAATTGAATTTGTAATTGCAAATGGCATGGACCGCATTGGAGAGAGAGAAAAAAAGAGCCTCCGAAACCCAGTGAAGCTTGTAAGACCACCATATGTAGAGCAAGACAGAGGCTTACATATGAATGGGTGCGCTGCAAATCTCAGGCCAAAAACTAAAGGAGCCATTCCCCCCTAAATCCTCTAAAGAATCTCTATAGACTCCGCCGTACTCGCTCATGTGAAAATACTAGCAATCACTCAGTACGTTTGCCGCCGCTCTATAGTATAACTCCTTCGCTTGCAAAATAACGATTAAGAGATAAGCCTGTCTGCGTGCTTTGAGAAAAAAATTAATAAACAGTTGTGATTCTTATTATTATAGTATGTTGTTTGTCACTAAATGCCGTTGAGCTATTAAGAACTTCAATTAAAGCTCTAATGTAGGCAATCTTTCTGACAAATTAATATTTCATGGCACGGCTATCTAAATCTTTGAGTTGGACTCCAGCACAGCTGTCTCTAATGTTCGTAATTTAGCCATGTTAATGATCAACATTAAGAGAGGAAGATGCGGCTATTTGAAACAACACAATGAACCGATCAAGCATCTTAAAAGCTACCGAAGAACTGGTCTTTCAAGGGTCCAATAGTCTAAATCAATGTCTAAATAAGAAAGTCAGACATCAGATCGATGTACAGACACATTCTGATCAGAAGGTTACTTGTTTTATGGGTTACGAGTGACATTCAGGACCCCAAGATCTTGCCAGAGAGTGCTGCTACATTATACAGCACAGCCAGATTTGAATTAGGCCATTGGGTGAGTGTATGAATGTGAATGAGAGATACTCATTTGAACTAACTCATTTATTTGCTAGAGGGGCCTCATTTTGCCCGGACAAAACCTAGGCAGGGAGCCTCCAACACACACACACGCAGATATTCACGATCGCACAAACACACATTTCTGCCAAGCTATAGAAACCGGGCTCGCCCTCAGATTCACCCTAACCAGAGCTCAATACTGTCCGATGATGGTTAACCGCAGCCTTGTGCTGTTATCCCTGAACGTGTGACCCCTCTCTCACGAGCACGCACCCAACTGGGCATCAGCCACTCCTGAAATGCCTCTCTGGGTTTGACCCATTGTGTAAAACCAGCATGGGGCTGGGGTGCAGGGCAGAAAGAAAGCCCCATGGCAACTGAAGAGGAACAACTGAGAATGGGGATGAGCTGGAATCACAGTGCTTTCAGGCAACTCAAGGCTTGCGTCAAAGAGAAGGGGACAGCGAGCCTGATGTAATTTCAATTTAAATATATTTCTTATATGTTAATTGTTAAAATTATTTTTCACATGAATAATAATATATTATGAATACTGGCTTATTCAAAATGCTCATTGACATTTAACACACCCAAACTATTAACAGCCATCAAACCAACTTATTCAAGTATCTCACATTCAGCCAGAAAAGTACTTATTTCGACTCAACTTCTGATGCTATTTTTCATTACCACCCTTCACAGCGCAGTAAGGTTGCATTACCTTATTAGAAAACCTTTGTTGAAATCCATTACTAGTCCATTTTCAGCCACACATTTTATAAATGCCTCAAAAGAAATGTGAATCGATAGAATTGTGCACTTTTAGAATTATGATAACAAGCAAAATCACATTCAAAGAGGTAAATACATGTGCATATTTTCTATACAGCCGTATATATAGAGTAAATAATGCACAAATCTGTACATAAATCTTCTGCTCCAGATTCATATACATTATTATTTATTGTTAAGTCTTATTTAAATGTTTCTGTTCTCATGTCAGATATGTATGTATGTATGCATGTATGTACCAAGAGCTTCTTAAAAAAACACAACAAATTCCTTGTGTGTTTGCGCACATTTGGCGAATAAAGCTGATTCTGATTCGTTAATTGGATTTTAAAGAATAACTGACCAATGAGCCATGATATATATTTCTAATGATGTTTCTAGAGGGCAATATCTAGGACAAGCTAGTGGCACAGGGTAATGACTTCTTAGTTTGAAAGAACAGAGAGCTTGCTTGTCAATCTCCCAAAAGCACAAAGAAAACCTTCTTATAAATCTGGCCTAAATTTATGTAGTTATTGGAAGTAGGTAAAAATTCCCATAAAAAGTAG